CAACACCCGGCTGAGCTGGCTGTTATACTTGATGCTCCATCAACATGTGATCCACATTACAAGCCTAATGCATGAGGTAGGAGGGGAAGGCATCTTAACCCTGCTACAAGCTAGTCCCAGGAGAAAACTGCCTAAAGAATTTTGATTTCAATACAAAAAATAAAGAAGATAAAACATCCACAATGATCTAATCCCTGATGTGCAAATAGTAACAAAGAAACAAAGACCATTAAAGTCCAAGCTGATAGCACCCCTCCAAAAATCATCAATTCCACAGTATTAAATTTTCCAGAAAGAGTGACCAGAATGAAATACCGAAGAATTCAAGAGATGAGACAAAAGAAGGTTGAACAAATTCTAAAAGGACATAAATAAGTTCCTAAAAGAATTAAAAGAGAATGCAAATGAACATCTGGATAAAATAAGGAAGTCAAGGCATGATATGAGCACAAATTTAATACACAAAAATACTTTTAAAAACTCAAATGAAAATTAAGGAAAAGCTCATTGAAAAAATTCAGTGGAAAGCTGTTGCTGAGGACAACACTTAATTGACTGACCATGGAAATGCTGAGCTTGTGCCTAATTAGAGTTTTATCCTTCTCCAGAGTGTTCATGGGACTGTAAGGTACTCCACACACTACCAGAGGAGAAAGCTAAGAAACAACTCAGATACAAACCCTGCAACATACAATGGTAACCACCGACAGCACAAAGTAGGCCAATAGTGACAGAAGCATTGTGGGAGGAACCCACCACTCTGACTGGATTTATGGGCCACTCCAAAAGATGGAACCCATGCCTGGCACTGCTTGGGTAGCCCAGAACCTGAGACAGGATAGGTCGGTCATGAGCCTACAGGAAAACCAAGTACTACTGTTCTGACATAACGAGCTCAGTAATGAAATGATTTCTAACAAGATTCTGCTATACCCACAGATCAGTGTCAGCCAACATCAGGAACGATTCCTCTTGCAGTAGATGGGAACTGACACAGAGACCCACAACTTGATAATGTACAAAAAGAATGAAATTTTGAAACACTCAGTACTTAGTGGGACGTTTCATCACACTCCTTGACTCAGAGCTCAGGAAGCTACACATAAGAGGAGATGAAGGACTATAAGAATCGGAGAGGATGGATAACTCCAAGAAAGCATTCTCTTCCAGACATACTAGGTATGGTATATATATATGAATTCTAGAGACTATGGTACCACACACAGGGCTGCACAGGTTTAATCAGACTGGGTCTCAGGGCTGAGTGATGTAAGTGGACTGGAGTTCCCATGAGTATCCAAGAAGCTATCTGCAGCGGACACCCACTTGCAAAGGAAGAAAATTCATTTTCTTTTTGGGTATATTAAACACATTTTAGGTTGGCTGCATGCCCAGCAGTAGATGGCCAATACAAAACAAATTCAAAGCTACCTACACATTTTTCATCTCATAATATTCTGTTTGGAGAATATTTGTCTTATGACTGATTTGTGTGCATATTATGGTTTGAAATTATGTGGTTTTGTGTGTGTTTCTAAGTTCTTTCTTTTGTTGTTTTTCTTTTGTTTTTTGTTGTTGTTGCTGTTTTTTGTTTGTTTTTTTGTTCTTTTGTTTTTAAAGACAGAGTTTCTCTGTGTAGCTCTGTAGACCTGGCTGGCCTGGAACTCACAGAGATCCACCTGCCTCTGCCTCTTCAGTGCTGGTATTAAAGGCATGTTTCACCACCACACAGCTCGTGTGTTTGTTGTTTAAAGAGAGAAAGAAAGGCCATGAATTTGGAGAAGAGGAGGAGTGGGAAGGGAAATCATGATCAGAATGGACTGTATAAAAGAAATTTTTTCAATAAAAAAGAAATATGATTAAAAAAGATTTAAGACATATCATTTACAGAGATCATATAACCCAAAAATCTAAAATATCTGGACCATTTTTAGAAAGTGGTTGTTAATCTATTATGTGGATTTTAAAACATAAAAATAAAAACATAAGAAAGAACTAAAAAAGAAAAAAATTCAGTGGAAATCCTTACCAATGAATGGATCAATGGATAAACAAGATAATTCAGGCATCAATGAAGATAAAATAAGAAAAAAGTATAAGCAAAGCATTTGAGAAAAACCAATTTACAAATCAAGAGCACAGAAAGAGGTTAAAATACCAAAAGGTATGATGAATAAAATAAAAATTTCCAATTTCTTAAATCTAGGAAGAGATGCAGGAAACATTTAGAATTTCAAACAGGCAAGTCTAGAAAGGAATCATCTGTCATTTAATGTTAGCAAATATACAGAAGAAAGAAGGAATGTTGGCATGACATACAGAAGACTTCAGGGCATAATTCCAAACATATGTTCCAATACTTTGGATAATTTTGAAGTAATAGATACATTTATAGGAACATATGTCCTTCTAAAATTAAAACAAGCGGATATAAATATCATTAACAGGTTTATACACACACCTAAAAGAATCAATTAATAAAAAAAAAGTGCAACCACAGATGTATTCACTGTTGAATTTACCAGACTTTAGAGACTCAGAAAAAGTCCAACATTTTTTCATGATACAAGCAACAGCAAAAACAATCCCCTGATACCTAGGAATAGAAGGTACCTATTTCAATATAATATGGCAAATTTACACCTAACATCATACTAAATAGGAAAGGATCAAAGTATCACCACAAAAACAATAAATGAGATAAGGGCACCCCCCACTTTACTTTTTTTTTTTTTTTTTGGTTTTACGAGACAGGGTTTCTCTGTATTGTTTTGGAGGCTGTCGGTCCAGCCTGGCCTCGAACTCACAAAGATCCGCCTGCCTCTGCCTCCCGAGTGCTGGGATTAAAGGCGTGCGCCACCACCGCCCGGCTTCCACTTTATATTTCTATGCCGAAGTCAATACAGAACCTTAAATCTTAGCTATAGAAACAAGATAAGGCAAATGTAATTGATATAAGGGTTAAACAGTTATACTATCTGAAGAGAAACCAGAGCCAGGCAGTGGTGGTGCATTCCTTTAATCGCAGCACTCGGGAGGCAGAGGCAGGCAAATCTTTGTGAGTTCGAGGCCAGCCCTGTCTATAGAATGAGTGAGGTCTAGGACAGCTAAGGGTACACAATGAAAGCCTGTATTGAAAACAAAACAAAACAAAGCGGAGAGACAGAAACAACTGAAAAGCAATTTTTAAAAGTGTTGAACTATTGCTAAAACTCTTCCATTCTTCTTTACCCCCCCAGAACTTGACTATAACATTCCACTGCTGAAGGCCCTACAAACTTGAGTTGTAGAATATGGATAAATAAAGCCAGTACTAATCTGGAAGCTTTGTCCCTAATAGACAGATTTTATAGTGCTCAAAGTTGCTATACACACTATTGATTGACACAAGAATCCCACCCAGCTATGAATCCTATAAGCTACAATGATAACCAGCCTGAGAACATAACTACTGGTGAAATAGTAGCACAAATGCCATGGGAGAACCAACCACCATTTGATTTAAGGCCCATTCTTTAAGATTAAATCCATACCTAGAACCTTTATGCAGCCAAGACCCAATGGCTAAATAGGTCATAGACCCTAAAGGAGAACTTACTACTCTTATTCTGCTAAATGGACATAGTATTAAGCCAAACTCCTAATGACTTGTTGTTATACCCATAGATTAGTTCATCTCTCAACCCTCAGAGGTATTTGTTTCTGCAGTATATGATGAACAGATCAAAAGGGAGAGAATAAGATACTGCAAAATGCTGAGTACTACATGAAAGGTCTGTATCACACATCTCTTCACTGGGATAAAGGATCAATGCAGAAAAGGAAGCAGAAAGATTCAAAGAATCAGAGCACAGAACTATTATAAGGAGATAGTATTTTCTGGACACATCATACTAGCTGCAGATATGAACTCAATACATTACACCAATACTCATGAGATGTGTGCAAGCTCAAGCCAGATAAAATCCCAGCATGGAGACGGTGGTAGCTGGATATCAAGTCCTATTCCTAGCTTTAGAACTATTGGCAGTGATAGCTTCTGAGAGAGGTACAGTCGGTTTTCTTTAAGAATATGGGCCCTAATGGGCCAATCAAACTCCAGTGGAAGGCCAAACATTCAAGTACATAAGGACAGCACAAACTGAACCTCATGGATAATTAGAGACAGAGAGAGAGAGACAGAGAGGGCAGGACACAAAGTTGAGTGGGTAGGGAAGAAGGGCCGGGTCTGATGAGAGATAGGGTGTCTGCTAACAAAATGCACTGTACACAATTCCTAAAGAATTAATTTAAAATTGCAGAACACAAACTTGAGTGGGTAGGGAAGAAGGGATGGATCTGATGAGAGATAGGGTGTCTGTTAGCAAAATGCACTGTACACAATTCCCAAAGAATTAATTTAAATTTTCAAAACAGAAAATATTTGGACAGAAATTTATTTTTAAGTACCTTATAAAGATATAAAGTTATATAGCTAAAAATAGTAGTTTATAAAATAGTTTATAAAGATATAAAGTTATATAGTTAAAAATAGTAGTTTTCAACATTTAGAGAATATTCAGACATTAATTACTAATTTCTACATTCTGCTTACAAAGGAACCTGTTAACCCTTTCTCTTCCTAATAAACACATAGTAAAGGCCAGAAAAAGTAGTGCATGTCTTTAATCACAACACCTGAGAGACAGAAGTAGGAGGATTACTATGAGCTCCATATCAATCTGGTTCTCATAGTAAGTTCCAAGCCAGTCAGAGCTACATAACGGGTTCTTGTTTTAAAAACAATACAAAACGTAATAGATTAATATAAAACATGGTTAGAAAAAAACAGTAAGAGGTATCTTATAATTGGATGTTTTAAAATTTAAATTAAAACATACTTTGATGAAGTAGCAATATTTTAGAATATTTCTACATATATAAAATTTTAATTAAAATGAGCACATAAAGTAGTATTTGCTATCAAGAGGATAAATATAATTTGATGACAATTTAAATACCTTTATATTATATTTATGAGCTTTATCCAAAATAGTTGGTACCAAGTGATCAGTAGCTTCTCCATTCTCATCATTTGAGTCAGGTGGGTACCAGGAAAGGGCCAGTACTCCTAATAGAAAAGCATAACAAAGAAAAAAAAGCAACAGAGAATTACCAAGATATGACTACAGAGGTCAAAAACTGGCAATATGAGTTCCAAGTACATTCAAAGGGTTGTTACAGTTATTTGGTTACTTTATCCAATATTTATGCACTATTTTACGCACTTAACATCTTTTAAAATTAAAATACTAACTACACATTTTAGAAGAGTTAAGACTCTCAGCAAAAAAACCATAGTCCTTATATACTGTCTTCTACAGGTCCCAATCATTTTCTCCAGTTCTTAACATCCACATATTCATATGCAATATTTACAATGTTTGATAAGCAGTAGCATCATACTATTGTTAATTAATGGCTACAGCTTTTATTAGTGTCAAGCAGTTGTGTGGATGTTAACAAAATCATAAGTTCATAAGCTAACTAACCGTTATAATACCAGACAGATTGATTTACTATAAACATTAGTCTGCCACCAATTTACCCTTCCTCCCTTCTGTTTACCCTCAGCAGTAACTGGCTTTTCACTCTCTGTAATTCTGCCTTTGCCAGATATCATACAACTTGATTCATAAAGCATATATCTCTCTAAAATTTGCTTAACTACTTGTATTTTAGATTTCTCATATCTTTTTATGAATCAGTAAGTCATATATCTGTTGTGTGGATATTTATTCACTTTTCTATTAAAAGATACGTAAGTTGATTTTTGGTAACTTGGAATAAAAATTCTACAATTATTACTATATGCTAGGTTTTAAAATAAATAATATTTTTCTATAATTATTACATATGCGAGGGTTTTTCTTTAAACACATACATATCATTTAACAGAAGATTTAATAGAGACAAAATAAAACAACTCAAAATTAAATCAGTCAAAATTCCACCATGGATGGGGGCAAGGCTCATTCACTGCAATCACTAAAGCTAAAATGAGGATAAGGCTTCCTTTGCCTGCTATGCATGGAATAGCAAAAAAGCAAAAACAAGTAACACAGAACAAAGACATAACAGTGGCTAGGGATCCAGGGAAGTGAGGGCTATTGAAGAAGGGAGTTCATCTAGAAAACAAAAGATGGGAGAAAACTGATAAACATTTAAGCAGCCCCTCCAGTCCAACTTGTAATAGCCTCAAGAACAACAACAAAAGCTGGGTGTTGGTGGTGCACATCTTTAATCCTAGCACTTGGGAGGCCGAGGTAGGCAGATCTCTGTGAGTTCAAGACCAGCATGGTCAAAAGGACCAGGACAGGCTCCAAAGCAATACAGAGAAACCCTGTCTCAAAGAAACAAAAACAAAAACAAAAAAAGGACAAAAAAAATCCTCAGCATACATCCGAGGAAAGAAATTTCCTACTCATAAAAAGCAGTGAAAATAAATATATGTAAGGAAAAGGGAAATAGCACACGTCAAAAACACACAAAGCACATGAACATTGCAAGGAATGCATTCTTCCACATAATTCAAACGAGGAATCTATTTCTAATAATCAAGCAGTAATTTCTAAAAGCTATTGATCTAATAGTAGAGCAATATCAAACATGGGCAACAAGAAATGCCATGAAGACCAAGCCTGACTCCATAAATAAGACGGTACTAGCAGAGTGACTAAGTTAGTCATGAAAGGATCACAGAGGTCAATTTCCTCAAGTGTGCATGGAGGGAGAGAAGCAGACCTAGGAAGCAGCAGCCTGCAGCCTGGCTCTCAATGCTCATGTGTCTCTGCTGTGCTTGTGTGTAAGGCAGCATCAGCATTCCCAACAGCAAAGACAAAGCAAAGTCACTCAGGAAGCTGTCTTTTCCCTGAGCTCAAAAGCATGTTTCAAAGAATAATGAATAAACAAGCAAGCACGATGAAAAGAACACAAGGAAAGAAAGCATTGGGCTTTATTAATGGAACCCCAAAGACGACAGGCCTGGCTATGCGGAACGTTCACACACTGGCTCTAGAGACTACATTTCTCAGACACTGCCACTGTCAAGATTTTATGACTTAAGACACGTACTTGGAAATCACACAAAGGACAGAAAAAGATGAGGGACACTGGTGACACGAGAAAACTGATCACTTTACACCCATTAAATCAAAGTACACTGCAATGGTACAGCAATTAACAAAAAAGGATAACTATATTACTAGGCCAAACCAGACAGCAGGATAGGATAATTCAATGTCAGATAAGGCATGTAAAAGATGAAGAAAACACCATAAACAAGGCAAATGGAAATGCAAAACGGAACATTTAAAACCATATTATGTTAAATAAAATCGAAATTGACACAGGAATTGAAAAGGAGTAGTTAAAGAAAGCCAAATTGTATCCTACAGAAAGGAAAAACCAGCTGAAATGTCCAACACACGGCTGCAGAAGCAATGTCCTCGATCATATAACCAAACATAATCACCAGTAAAAACTGGGTAAAACTGATAATCTTACCAGCAGATGAATCACAAAATACTGTGTTGCGCAAAATAAACAAGCAAACAGGACAGCTAATTCATTTTTCTGTCACAAAGGAAGGGAACAATCCTAACTTCACAGTGACAGAATTCAGATACAGTTGCTAGAGTGGGGTCAGGGTCAGCAGTAAATGGGGCAACGATGATGGCAAAGGTCCTGTTGCCCTGAACTCATAATCCTATTCCCTCAGCTTTCACAGTACTAAAATGTAGGCGTGCTCCACTATGTGTGTGCCTAGCACAAGTGAAGTCATCAGTCCAATTCCCATTACTACAACCTCCTCCCCACGCCCCCCAGAAAAGAAGTAAACAACAACCAAAGCAGAACCGGTCACATATGCAGTGCAATCCAGAGATATGAGTCAAGACTGTAATTAATGAAAGCATGAAGACCAATTAGTAATTTAATTGTCCATCCAAATTATGTATATATGTAAATAAAACGAACTAATTACCAACCAATTGAGGCTGAGCACATTTGTCTCATGTGAGTTTCTATGACAGAAGGATCCCGAGAGCTGTAACTTCCTAATTCAGGGTAGAAACTGGAGCCAATGTCATCTGGAGGAGTATGTCTCCCTTGTGGATAGTTCTTGGCTATTCTAGGGTCCCAGTGCTCCAGTACTGGATGATTCCAGTGTACATATTTACCGTCAAATTGTGGGTTTCCATACCAACTGTAATAAAATACATGTAAAAAGTAATTCAGAGGAGGCAGTTCTTCTGGGTTCACTTCAGAGTCTTTAGGTGGCTGCACAGTCACGCCGGCAGCTTTTAAATTCTTTGTATTTGTTTCCATGTTGATTCTGTCACTCTTTGGAAAGTCAGCTTTGTTTTCCAAGGGGGCGTTGGGTGGATGAAGTTCTGGGAGAAGGTCAAGTCCAAAAGGAGTCCCAAAGGCTGTATTTGGCCTCAGCATCTTTAAGACCATCATCAGACAGAAAATAAATAGAATAAAAAGTGACAAAATGATGCAAGTCTTTCTTCGAAATTTTGCCATGATGACATACTTCAAACTCCAAAGTAATGAATGTTTTGCTGTAATTCATTGAAAAAAAAAAAGATCATTAGTAAGTGCTACCAACATGTTCTCTACAATATTTAAAATGAAAACTAAAATCCTGTGGCTACATTAAACAATAAACAAAATACAGTATAATAAACCACCCAAATACTTTAAACTTTTAGATTACTATGTTAGGTTTCCTGATGATCCTTTCAAGAAGATGATGTGTTTTTAATGGATCACTTCATATTTCTTGTTTCCAGCCCTTGTTCAAACCCCTTGCATCTTTGCCCCCCATCTAGCTTTCTTTCCACTACCTTGCTACTACCCTCGCATCTTTCAGGACCTTGTCTACCCTTTGGAGTTCCATAACCTACACCATGCTTTCACACCTCCTTATACACACACATACAAACATACCGTAAAGATGTGGATATGAGACAGAGCATGTGGTTTCTGACTTTATCTGACTTGAGTTACATCATTTCCAGATACCTCAATTTTCCTTATTTCATGTTTCTTAAAGTTTAACAAAATTCAACTGTATACATATACTACATCAGCGGTGAATTAATGGTGCTATTGTGTTGGTTTGCTTTCCTAAGCTCCTCTCATAGACATCACCAGACAACATCCCTCCCAAGACCACTGATCCTGACAAATCCTGATTTTAGACATCCCAGTAACAATTATGGAATTTTGTTCAAAACTTTACTTCATGAAGAAACTTGTAAATTTATATTAAGGAAACACACAAATAGAGACATGCAAATACATTTGTACACACATTATACACATACTTATCCAATATGCATCTGTTCTTTATATCATAGCTCTTCACAGATAGCTACTGATGAAGAAATTTACAACTATACCAAATATAGACTTTTTTCTTGGTATTATTCTCTAAACAACACTGAATATTGACTATTTACACAACACTGATTATTAGAAATATACAGGAAGAAGGATGTAGGTTATATTCAATATCTCATAAAAACAAAAGCATCCATGAATTTTGCTTCCCAGGAAATTCCTAGAACCAACCTCCTCAACCTACTTAGAGAACAGCTATCTGTATATACAATAAATTACACAATGTAATTATACACAATTGTAGATATTAATGTGATTGAAACCGGAGGGGAAAAAATGAGAATTCTTTATACTACTTTAGCAACATTTTTAATGTTGAAAACATTTTTTTTAAAAAGGAAGAAAACAAAAATAAAAAATTCCACTAGGTAAGTACATGGTCAGTATGAAATTTTCACAAAACCTCTGCTTATTTCTGGAAAGGAACAAGTCTATACAGCCCTTCAGGCTCAGCACTACACAGCTCCAGGAAGACAAAGCTCTGTTGTGGGAATGTGACAGACCTATGCATTGGACAGCAATAATGGAACAAAACGGCCACTTTGGTTTTCTGCTATAACTTGCTGTCCTGGAATTTCCAAACTATTGATGTAATAACATATCCTTCCTTCCCTTTAATTAAAGATTGTGATAATTTTGATCAGACAAGACACAGAAAAAAATAATTTTGAGATATGATTTTAACTATATTAATCAAACACAAAATAGAAATATGTTTAAAGCATGTACAACTGCTATCTCTAGATGAGAAAAAAATAGTAATCTCTTCTCCTGTCTTCTAAATTACAACTGTTTGTTTGGGGTTAAGTATTTCATTAAGAATTAACCAGTGGTGTTGTATGCTAAACACATACATATACTAAGGGGGGGGAGAAAGGGAAGGAGGTTGGGAAGGAGGGAGGGAGGGAGGGAGGGAGGGAGGGAGGGAGGCAGGGAGGCAGGGATGGAATGAATGAATGAAGAAGGGAGAGCTATTAGATTTAGAAGTAGCTAAAAGATTAACTTTAGAAATGCTGACTTAGTATGCTGGTGAAATGCACTAGTCATGGTATACAATGAAGAAAAATACAACAGAGTTTGGAATTTGAAAAACACACTAAGGATCCACTTGTGTGACCCAGAAAAATTCATGGAAACTCTTTATTGGTGTTATTTTTTCTTGATTTTTTGATAAAAGTTGTTCTGTGAATAATGCAAGGTATTGTTGGCAGAAGAAATTAAAAGGGAGAAAATGAAATGAATTACTAAATATTACTTAAGATTTAAAGAAAATGAGGAAAGAAACAAAAAGAACACTAAAGAGTGTATGTGTGTGTGAGAGAGAGATATTGATTTCTGATTCATTTATTAGATAGATTTATCAATATATGACCAAAATTGCATTTATAGACAATGCCTTTGTCCCTCCCCCCATTATTTTTTTCTATACATTCAATTTCTTAACCTGCACCTTTATTTATGGCATTGCTTATTTTATTCATTTCAAATGACTATTATATCATTGCAAACAACCAATTCCATCTTTAGAGATCTCCATGAGGGGATTCCAAACTTCTTAATTAACAAAACACTTTAGTCACTGTGTTTAAAAGTCATTTAAAAGTCTGAGCTCTCCCTGCTGGGTATCTTTCTCAGTGCTGAAAGGTGCTATGGAGGTTGTTATGGCAGAGAAAGTTATCAGCGGTTTTACCCAGTGTCCAGCCCTGAATGTTACACTCATGTTACAATGCTGACCTCTCAGGTATATCTACTGGTGCAATAGTAGCAAGACTATTCATGTGGGTAACCAACTACTCCCTACATGGTCAAAAGGCATGGCTAGGAAAGTCATAGGTCCCAGGAGAAAATGTACTGTTTTTGTAAACAGTCACGTGGTCATACTTCTTCCAAATGTATTTTATATCCACAGATTTGTGTTGCTCTTGGCCAGAGAAGCTTCTTACTGCCACTGATAGTTAATGATGATTCATTACTAATCAAATTACTGAGAATAAACGAAGGACAATGCTTGGTTGGAGATGGCATGTCTCTAATATCTCCCTGCCCCTACAACACTGAAACTCAGGACGTTCCTGAGAACACAAGAGCTGGAGGATAGAGAAGAATGCTGTGAACTCTGTCCTCAGGACATGACCTGGGTGATTCATAATCAACTCAAAGCAGCTGTGATTAACTGCACAAGAACTAGAGAAACATAAGTTCCAGCACAGAGAGTGCACCTAAGGCCCTAAATCTAGCTGAGGACTATTACATTGCTCATACCACAGGGCATGACCCCACACCCATGTGTTCTTGCTCAGCACTAAGTAAAATATTTTATTAATCAATAATGGATAAAATTGGGAGATGGGATATTGGAATTTTGGGGAGTTGGAAGTGAGGAGCAGAGGGTAGGTAAAATTAAAATACATTATATACACCCATAAAATTTTCAAAGAAAAGGTAAAAATTGTTATTTAAAAACTTTTTGAGCTGTGTAGTTACAGTAAGTCCAAACTCCTATCTTTTCCTTAACTAGCCTGATGTTTCCATACATTTCTCCACTGCAGTTATCTCAGTCATAAGATTCTTGTCATTTATATATGAGCCATAGGCAGTTACTCGTGATGATAATATTGAAAAGACGGGTGGCATGTAAACACTCCAGAAGTAGCATATGGTAGCTGGATGTGGTAACACACCTTTACTCTCAGAAGCTGATGGGGATGCCCTTCTGTATGCTGTGAATATATGTTTCTTATTGGTTGAGGAATAAAGCTGTTTCAGCCAATGGAAAGGCAGACAGGATGTATAGGCAGGGCTACTAGGAGAATTCTGGGAAGAGGAATGCAGAGAGTAAAGCACAAGGAGATGCCACTTAGCCACCGGCAAGGTAGGAGGCCTGTGCATTCTCCAGGATTTCAAGACCATGTGGAGACATACATAAAATAAAACAAAAATGGGTTAATAACTAAGAGACAGCTAACTAATAAGAAGCCTGAGCCACTGGTCAAATATTTTATAATTAATATAAGCCTCTCTATGTTTGTTTGGGACTAAACAGCTGTGGGACCAGGAGGGACAGAAACCTCCATCTCTAAGACCCTGTGAAACAGAGGCTGGCAGATTTCTATGATCTGGAACTTCCATGCCAGCCAGAGCTACATAGTGAGGGCCCATCTCAAAATAAGTAAATAAATAGGCTCTGCTTCAGCATAAATAAATATAATGGCAATAATAATAATAATAATAATAATAATAATAATAATAATAAAACCAACCCAGCATATGGAACTGAGCATGTAGTTCAGTAGTTAGACATAAGCCCAGGGATCTGCCTCTTCTTCCTGATGCCTCTCCTAAGGACTTCTGAATAGAAAACTCTTACTGAGACAGCATTGTTCTCCTTTAATGTTGGCATTTCCTACACTGAACACCACATGAAATTATCTGTGTACAAGTTTTCTGTTCCTTAGATATGGAGTATATTTATACTCTAGTACACCCTAACAAACATTATGATCAATGATTCATAATATTTAAGTTTTGGCCTTTCTGTTTTTGACACGGGTATGTGTTTGGGCAATCTATCTGTAATGTATTCTACTATGCATATGCAAATCAGATCTTTGTAGTGCCTATAATAAACAACACTGTAAAAATATTCATGAAGTCTTAACAATTTTAAAGTCTATCGAAACAAATTACTAACTTAATATCTGTGACAACACAATGTCTCTGTATAGTAAAACAAGCACTGCTCTTGCAGTAGACAAACGAACTACTTACCTACATTTAACTAAAGAAAGGTTTTAGAAGTTCCCTGTGAGAAAAACAAACAAAAACCAAAAATACCTCTACCAGTCAACTACAGGTATATAGGGTCTCAAAGTAGGAAGTTCAAGGCAATGACCAATGACAATGTGTCCTCATCAAAGGAAAGTTTGCATGACCCACAGTTACTCCACTGGCTCTTCAGAAACCATGCCATTTTTATGTTTGGGGCTTTTAATCTTCTCAAATAATATTTAACGTGGAAGTCTCATAATTTCTAATAAAAAGTATTATATACATTAAACAGCTAAGAGGTCTAGTATTTGCTCATTTTAATAACTCAGAAAAATCAGTTTCCATTTTAAAATAATCAATTAAATTATAAAGATTCCTCTTGCTTATTATTTTGTGTTATAGTTTTCTTCTAATTGTATGCCAGAGGAAGTACGTAGAGACTAAAACTAAGGCTAGAAAAACACATCTGAAACTTTCAGAATCTTGCTTAGGTCAGTTTTACTGAAAACACACGTCATCTTTTGTACAGAAGTTCAGTCAAGCATAACCACAGTCTTCCGTTTTTTAATCTTTACAACCATCTATGACAGGGAACTCCATGCTGCAGGTGATGCAACTATGTAGTTGAGTTTTTCTGTTTGGGCTAGCTGGCAAACAGCCAAGTAACCTGCCCCTGAGCACCATGCAAGGGCAAATTAAGAGTGCTGCAACTTAGGCTTCCACCTCCGACTTATGTGGCCTCAAGTATAGAAGGCATACTGCAATTACTGTTGCGCCATGGGCTCTGACTTAGACGAAATGACCAATGGCTGTCCCCCTCCTTGAACTGTGGCCTGCACTTCTGTGGCCTGCACTTCTGAGAAGGCGGCTCATGATCACAGACTAGTTACTTATTCCAGGAATACGAGCAGCAGCTTCGTGTGCACACAGCCTAAAAAGCCATAAAACTCAGTTTCTCGCGGCTTACAAACATTTCAGAGTGCAGTAATGGTAATGTACTGCATTGAAAGCGATTCACAACCCTGAACTAGCCTCACCAAAGCCTGCATTGTTATTTTAAGCTGCCGCCTACTCTGTAATGTGAAGAGACCACCCCTCCAGCTCATGTCTGATTTGTATTTCTAGCTCACACAAAGAGATCCACAAGAGTGCTCACGTAAGCCTCCTTCTAATTAGCTTTTAGTAGTCTTTTCGGTAGGTCCTTGACACAACAAAACCAAAGTTTTTAACCGCTTGTACTCCCAACTTATTCCTCCGCGCATGGAGAAGAACCCAAGCAGCCGGGTCCAGCGACGGGGAATCTACAGTCCCGATCCAGCCAAGTCTGTTAAAGGGGAACAGAACAAAGACCTCGGAGGGCGGACCTGTCCCCCGCGGCCTTCCGGGTGCAAACTCGGCTGGGAGTCGGGGCGCCGCGACCGCGAGGGGCCTGCGACCCACTGGAAGGTTCGGGGCTCCAGGCGGAGGCGCGTGGAAGCGCCTCGGGAAAACTTAAGACGTGCGGGGTGCGGGCAAGCCGAGGCAGGCCAGGCTCACAGACCTCGCTGACACTACCCTAGCGGGAACCGTCAGGGAAGCCGGGTCTGGATTCGGAGGAGCCCGGGAGCAGGGTCAAAGGGCGCAGCCGGAAGAGGGCCCGCGATTGGCTGACGGGCAGGTGCGCAGGCGCCGGCTGTGGCCTCTGTGTGGGCGGCAGGGCAGGGATCCCGCAGCTACTCACCTGGGTCTGGGGTCCTGTCACCTACGGGGACTCACCGCGGACTGAGACCTGAGCCTGGGCCACGGCTGACAGCCGCCTGGTCCCGCCTCCCGCAGGACAGCGCGGGGCGCGACTCGGGGGGCGGGGCTCTGCGGGGCGGGGCTCAGCGGGGCGGGGCCTGTCCTGGAGTCTAGTAAGGTTTTCTGGTGAGGACAGCAGAAGGAGTTGTGGCAGGCTAGATCCCCATCATTTCTCTCAGAGAAATGAAAGACCTCTCGCACTTTAGCCTTTAAGGCGAAGCCGTGAATCTGAGCAACTGTGTTCAATTTTTTCACTTCTTTTTGAAAACTTCACTCCAGTGTTGCTTATATTTATAATGAATTGGATATTTCCAAAATTCTAAAGTTGGCGATGTGTTTTAGTTTATAAATGGGTCTTAATTTGAAATCCAGAAGTAGACAGATGAAGACGATATGTGAAAGTTACAGGTCTACTAGGAATCATGTGTGCACAATTACAACAGAAATAGAGATTAAGTCAGGAGCAGAAAAACAAGAATTTTTGCAGTAGAGGCTACAGCTCGGTTTCCCATCTTACATCAGCCTCAGACACCAAGAGGATTCAGTGTTTTGTTTTGGCTACATGGTAACAAGGAAACCTTGACTCAAAGAGTGGAACTTGCAAGTGTGAGGATGTGAACAGTTTTGTATGGTCTCCCCTTAAAAAACTGCTGGGTCTTTTAAGAGATTTGAAATATACATATATCTTTTTTAAAGAAGAAGATTAAAAAAATATGCCCTAGTACTTACTGCAAAAGCTTAAGACTACAAAGTTCATGGTTTCCTATCACCATTAGACAGTATTTTTTCATTGCCTTGCTCTTTTCGAGTTGGGTTCATGAAAATCTGTAGTCTCATAAAAATCTTGTCTCCCTGGCTTTGCATGTTATAAAACTGAAATATGTACTGGTTTTCTGTGCTATCATATTTTGCTACATGCTTATGTTTGAAGTTGCTAAACATACAAATCAATTGTACATCAACTACTTTGCATTATCACTATAAAAACTGTCTTTTAGGGGTTGGCCAGATGGCTCGGCAGCTAGGAGCACTTACTGCTCTTCTAGAAGACCCAAGTTCAATTCCCAGCTCCCATGTGGCAGCTCACAACTGTGTGTAACTGCAGTTCGGGATCTGACACCCTTGCACAAACACACATCAAGACAAAACAGCAGCACATATTTTAAAAAAATAGATAAATCATCTCTAAAACTTTCAATTTTCACCTGAAAATGTTATCTAATTGAAATTCCTTTTTGTGTTCCCTCTCCAATACGGAAGTATTCACAAATACCTTTGCTTCATTGTATTCGCTTTTGTGACATGTGATACTCAAAATCCTTAAAGCTTAATATCCTGCTTGTACATTTAAGAATATTGTAATTGCATAATCTTGCATTTACATCAGACACTATGGCAAAATTTTAATACTGTTGTATTCATGTTAAGAACGAGATAAAACTGTTGTTAGTATATCCACTGAAGGTCATCTTATTGTAATATTTTCAATAAGTTCATGAGGTATTTTCTTTTGCTTCTAAAATTTTTAAGTTTAGTTATGAGATATATTAGGCACATGAACAATATTGATAATAACTAATAAACACCTATGCACTGAGCTATATGAAACTATAAATTTTTGCAGCTTCATTTACCTAATTGATGTTATTTGAACTATGTTAGCTAAGATTGGGTCTTTATGCATTCTTTCAAGTTTTGGAATAAACCAGCCAAGATCTGTTAATAGATTCCTTTTCTATATTGCTTGTGCTTTAATGAAATTTGAGAATTAATTTTATGGATTTTTATAGTTTAGAGAAATAACTTCTGTGAACATGTTATGTTTATAGATTTATATTTGTATCTGGTATTTTCTGTACTGCTTTTTAATTCATGCTATTAAAGTTTTTCCAGGTTTTTATTACATGCATTACTCACATTTATTGCAAAAATTGGATGTAACTTTCTTTAGATAACATATTGTATAGTCTGATGCTGCGGTCAGTGGTAAAATGAATGAGACCCTGAGATTAATTTCAAGCATTGTAAAATAAAATCGCAGCAGACTATGAGCACAAGAAGGCATTGATTTTTTTATGTTCATTCATATATACAAGATGTGCTCACATTTTGAGTGTTTGCATTATTTTCTGTTGTATATCCAATATGTGCAAATGGTTATATAATTTATAAATGTGCTCTTTTTCACTTTTTAAATCATCTTTTCATCTTTAACACACATGAACACAGCCTGCAGTGCAATATTTTACAACCATAGTGACAATGTTGTCATACTATCTCTTGTTTAATTCAACACTATTAAAATTTTATCATGAATTTTAGGTGTGTTTTGTTATTATATGGTGAATTGCTTCTCATGAATCAGATTACTAAGTATCCTGTTTCCAGTTTTATCAGGAATACTTGCTTAGTTGATCAAATTAATTTTAACATCTATTGAGATAGTTAATAGTTTCCTATCCTAATACGTTTATAAATATTAATAGATTTTTCTGATGTTTAATGCAAGGAAAATACTTTATTTTATAAATATGTATATGTGTGCCCATTTTAAAACAGTCACTTATTACTGCTAGAGCAAATCAATTAAAATGGGTTCACTTTGATTCACACTGTGTTTATAAGATTTCTGCAATAGAGTTTTAAAAGTGAGTTGGAATTGTAGGCAATGTCATATCCCGCAACTGTGACCACTCAGTTCCTTCTGACTATACCTAGGAAAGTTGAGATGGATGGAGGTATCCAACATTGGCAGCATTCTTTTTTTCCATATCAGTATTCAACACTTGGCATAGAATATATATTTATTTGTCTGTATCCCTAGTATTTTCTTTTATCATTAATGAGGCATTCTTGCATACCAAATTTTAACATATTTCAATATGCAGTGATCATAGTTACTGTAAAGTCTAGTATTCTGTTTCATGTAATACTAAATAGTACAGATTTGGTTGGTACATTTCTAAATATTAATTACCTAAATCTCTAAAATTAACAATAACTAATAAATTGATAGTTAATGAAAGCTCTTTTATAGAAAGTGTGTTTGTACATGTAAACACATACGGAATATCTGAGAGGATGTGTTCATTGTGATCTGTTGTGACTCTTGTTCATTTGTCCTTCTTTCCTTTCATTTTTCTTTTGTCATCACATATCCTGTTAATTAAAACCACAGTGCTGAAAGAATGTGCCATACATTTAATAGGTGAATTACTTGAAGAAAATAAGGCTGTACATGTATTTGTCTAAGTGTAATGTATCAATAATGATCAGCCATTAATAAATCTACTAAAAATATTATAAAGAGGTAAGGATGAAGGGAAGCAATTTGCACATTTTTCTCATAAATTCTTTCCATGAACGAGCCTAACACATTAACCTGCTAGTCTAACACTGTCACCTGTAAACAGTCTGTGGTTTTTACTGCCATTTTATTATTATAACAGTTCCTACATCATAAGGTGCCTGTGTTTTCACTTGCTCCATTACTGAAACACCAGCAACCATTACTTTCCTGTGAGCATTAGTAATGGGTAGCCTTCTTAGTTCCTAAACCTAGCCAAATGTTTGCATTTTCAGCCATAGTTTTTCCCCCCTATTTCAATGACTCGTTTCTGTCACCTGACTATCTCATGTCCCTCACTCCATTGTACCTCTGCTTTTTCCAAGTTCAGACCAGAAAGCATCATTTCAATAACTTTAAACATTACTCTTCACATCTGCAAAGCAAACTCACAGATCACAGGAAAGCATGTAGACTAAGTACAGTGTGCAAGTGAAGGCTAGTGGCTTAGGCCGTCCAAGGACCCCGAAAGGGGTAACCCAGAGTACACTTAGGATATTTTTCTGTTAAGACTGAGTTCTCTCTTAATTACTTAACTCTGTCTGTGTAGTCTGCCCCCTTCAGAATTCTATGGGTTTTTTTTTTTTTGGTTGTTGTTGAGAAAATCTTGATGACTGCTTTTGTCTAACCTGTTTACCAGCACTTCCTTAGTTTTCCCAGAGTAGAAGCCACTTAGGACATTCTTGCTAATAAGTAGCAACAAAAACAAAACAAAACAAAGCAAAGCAAAAAGGTAAATCACCAAGGAAAAGCCTGTTTTTTTCCAATCCTAGTAAGCTTCTTGATGCCCTTGTCTAGTGTTTTTGTCTATTATATGCCATTTAATACCTTTAATCCCAGTTTCATTTACAGTTTTGCCACTATTTTTTGTTCTATTCCTTATGTCATATTTTGCTTCATAAATGTTTGAGAGAGTCCTATGATGGATATGGCATATATGTCTCCAAGAAGTCCCTGAGTAGAGTTCCACACTCTCTACTGGATGACAGGGTCAGTCTTTCCACTGTTTTAGTCCTTTGTTGTTTGTACAAGGCAATCTGGAGGATGAACAACATTCTGGCCACAAGAAATTCAATTTAACTCCAAGAATATTTACTCACAAATGGTGATGGGATCAAAGAAAAAACTGGTCTTTGAAAGTCATCACTGAAAGCTGTACGTGAGATAAATGTACAGATTTTATAGTAACTTTTTGAATAAAGAGATAGGTTTTCTAAGAAGACACTCAAACCTGAGGATTAAATTCAATATAGGTAAATCAGAACTTGATAGCCTCTGCAATAAACAGTCTGTGACTGGTGCATTTTCCCGTGTCAAGGGATTTCTGAGGAATGCAGGTTCCAGTGATTTCGTTTTTCACATTGATAAATGACAGAAAGCTCCTGGCTGGAAAATAGGTGCTGTTAAATGTGAATTTGCTAATGACCAGGCAGTGACAATTTCTTCTAACAGAGATTGTTTCACTCAGGATGGTGACTGCTGTGCAGGTGCATGGCTACAGTACAAAACTGACTTAGCATGGAGATACAGCATGTCCTAAAAGGGAAAGTTACTGCAAACATGGACACAGAGCCTCTCAGCATTTGAAGGAATAATGCTTCATGTACTATTATCCCATGTAAGTGTCCTGCCACATTCAACCCAGTTGTAGATGGTACACCATTTTGAAAACATAGATTTTTGTCCTCTTAAGGCCATAAGATTGGTG